AAACTTCTTTCTACAGAAGCTCCATCCTTTCCCTGAGCTAAATTCGCTCATATATTTGCTACTACTTACCAACCCAATTTCCCCCATTTATAGCTCATATGTTCCTGTGTCTAGTTCCAGAATGACCAATTGTACATTGATCAAGGATAAGGGGATATTGACTAATCTTTTAACTAAGTTTGGTGCCACAAGGACAAGTTGAGGTTTTGAAAATGACATGACATCTAACAATGTATTGTGCACTGCCACTGTTGTCCTCCCTCAGCTGTACCGGTGCTTTCTGCAGGAAAGGAGATCATATACGGTTGCTGTCACATAGCATCAAGTCGATTGGTAACGGTTAATTCAAATGAGTGCTTTGCATGTGTGTTTAGTTTCCATCAGAAAAGCCACTTTCAACTAGGTTTATCCATACCTTGCTTAGGGTTGTTTATGTGGTCTGAACCTGATGTTCTCCTTTAGGTTAAGTAGGTCGTTCTCAATTGCCAAACCACAAATTGATTGTTCAAATTCCATAGTTATATTCCTGTACGACCTGCAACCAATTAGTGGTCCTATGCTAATTCTATGTGACTGGAATATTTAGTGTGATGTTTCCTTTTAAATTCTGATTGACGAGACACAAGGCTACTAAAAGCAGGCAAGATCGTAACAGCATTTGTTAGTCTATATTTGCAACTGTACATCATTTTCTTAGAGAACATATCTCATTGGTTCTCTTGTGCTTCAAGAACCACTACGCTGATGCAACAACTTCCACTCAGATTAAGAGCATGATGGTCGTTACTTGTTTTACACTAAGTCTTATACATCAAAAGTGTTCATGGAATTCATCTAGTAGTCAACAGTAGAAGTCAAATCCCTATTAACTGATAATAAACCAATAAAAATTCACAACTGATTGGTCAAGATTCCCTGGCAGTAAATTTTCTTATATTGGTTGAAATGGCCTTCTATTTGAGTTAGAAAATTCCAATTTGTCCTTTATGCAGATGCTCTTAGTTAATTTCTTTTAGTTACTTGTAAAATGGCCTTAGCCTTTTTCTTAATCTCTTATGATTTATCTCCTTGAAGCTAAGTCTTTTATTTTTTAACAAATCTGATTTGAAGTTGATGGTTTCGAGAGAAAGAAAGCAATTGGCTTTATAGGTTATTGATTTCTTGTTATTTTCTTAAAGACTATTGAGAATGCGGTGTGAAGGGCGGCAAATTTGCACAATCCACTGTTCATGGCTCCAGCTGGTCAAACTCTCAAGTCTCAATGTTGTAGAGATTCTGGGAACCAATGTTAACTGACCAAACCATGATATCTCTTCTGACTCAGGTCATATATACCACATGACAGTCACCTATCGTAGTTGTACCTATCTCAAAATGTTCAATCAACTCATATGCCTAAAATGATAAATTCATATTAATGTTTCCAACAAGTAGATATTGCTATCTATCATTTTTTCAACTTGCAGCAGAGGACACTAGATATGCCAAATGGCTCAACATCTTATCTAGCTCTCTGCTCTTGAATAGGACCTTGACATTTTCGTTGGAACATATAGCAGGGAAACAGGGATTGTGCCACCACATATCAGGCCAATTGATAGTGCACTGTTGGGAAAATCTGCATTGCGTAGTTGGTTACGGGATGACTCTCCAATAAATGTAGATCTGCCTATGATGTGATGCACCAAATAAGGTTCTGAAAAATGGTTTAGTTTGTTCTTTAATTTATGGTATAAATAAACATCGTTGGTTTACCTAACAAATTAACGATGTTTCATGAATGGAGGCATATCGTATTGGATATGTTATATAAGATGGTTCTGCACAGAGTATGTTATCAAAATCCAGGTAACTAGAAAGCACCAACCTTGTTGCGGCTCTATGTTATACTAGCTTTCTCTACTAAATTCCAATCTTAAGTATGTAAGAGTGTCACATATTTTTTGAATATTCATTAATTTTGGCTAGCAGTCCTCAAATACTAACATGTGTATCATAGCAGATGTAGCTACATTTATTTCTGAGAATAGACATCTTCAACTTGTGTATCTTTGTCTTTGTATTCTTTCCAGTTTGTTGTCACCTGTACAGATAGATACGAGATCCATCCACTTATCCAACAACTCCAAATGATTATTGATTAGTATAAGCATTGCACTCTATGCAACCACTACAAAGTATATGGCACTATAGGTTTCTTGAAAAAAAAGGTACATTAGAAATGTGTAACATCAGAATATACTGATGGTGGATCTTCTTGCTCTTTTTAGCTATCGCATTTAAGAAGTCTTACTTCTGAGCATGACAACATTTGTTTAAAAAGAACGATGCACATCACATTCTTATAATAGCAAGGTAAGAGGATTGTAAGTCTTTACTGAAGGCAGTAGCTAGGGTGTTCAGGCAGTCATGCTCAATAGCAAAAGAATTGGCTTGTTGAGGTGGTCCTTGTGGTGCTAGTTTGGTTAGTAGTTGGGAGGTAAGCTACTCACTCTTTGTGATGATTATGCTGTAGGTTTGTCCTTTCATGTGAACTAATATATGAACAAACTGAAGAACTGCCTAAAGGTGTCCTTGCTGCAACGACGTAGTAATGAATAATAGGCTGAGCCAACGTTATTCTCTTGTACTCCCTCTGTTTCACAATATAAGACTTTCTAAACACATACATATGTCTAGATTCATTAACATCTAAATGAATGTGGGCAATGCTAGAAAGTCTTGCATTGTGAAATGGAGGAAGTAATGTATATTCCATGCCACTTAGTGTTTTTCTCTGAAACTGTATCTATACTCTATAATTCACAAAGTTGGGTTATATTTTCATTTTTGAATGGATGGATCTCTTCTGAAAAAGTTCATGAATAATTATTTCTTGTTCTTTCAATTTCTCATAGGTCATGGACTCATGGTTATATATCTCCTTGCAAATTGAATAGTTTTGACAATGGAAAGTGGGGTCAAGCATTTAGGTGGTGTTACTCACTGGAGTAGTTTTTACTAACTGTCCCCATGGAATGAAAAATTAGTACAATGGTACCATTTTACAAGTTTTTTGGCAAAATGTATCTACTCTTTTTCTTTTTAAAACTAAACCGGTAGGAGAATTACCAATTATGTTTCAATAAATAGAAGTAAAAACTCAGACAGGTTACAAGGAAAAGAAAAAACAACCACCTGCTGAACAACCGCACAACACACACAACTTACAACACCACGCTCTTTAAATTGGCAATATAATCTATTTACAGTCTTGAATTAAGTCCCTTTGCAATGTTTGCTCTGTACAGATCCCCCCTTCAATTAGACACGGAATTAGAACTGTCTTCCTACCTACAAGGCTACAAAAATCAATGGCTGATTTTCATTTTACTCAGTTATTTTGACTAGTAAAGTAGTGGAATTATTAGCAAACTGAATATTTTCTTGAGTAATTAAGAAGGTGATTCTAATGTCTTGAGTAACTATTATAAACTAGTTCACTATTTCATCCACAGCTAGGCATCTTGATTTGGTTTTACATTGTAACGTGGTAAGTGTTTGTGTCTTTGTGCGGTTATAAACAATTGCTTGGAGTTTGCTAGTCACCATTTACTTGGTTTTCTAGCAAGGTTTGGAGATGTAAAGATAAGTTACTTAACCCATGCTCACTTTTGTGTTGTCAGGTTTAGCATAGATTTTACCTTGTGACATATAAATCCATGTTTTACAAAATCTGGATTGGAAGCCATTCCTGTGTTACCTGAGATTGTTTCTTGATTAAGATATTGATGCATGAAAATATTTGGGTCCTTTGATCTTTTTTACACCACCTAACTATTAAAGATCAATTAAATACCTGATAAATACCTTTCATATGCTGTGTATATGTACTCATCAGGATACTTATAGCTGGGGTCAAATTGGTGTCAACAGAATTCTACTTCAAGTATGTGCCATTATTCTGACAGAAAGACGATGGCAACTTATGCCTGCTAATTGACGAAGTAGTTACAGAATGTGCACTTGGACTTGTCAAGAACTAGTTCTCTACACATTAAGACTGCTTTTGCTGTTAGTGTCGATGAACTACTTTGAGGTATAGTTTTGCAGTTAGACTGCCATGCTATTGGTTGTTGACTACCACTGATCTTTATCTTTTTGGAATGGATTTTGTTCATACGCCAGTAGCACTATCTCCACTTTCAGAACTGAACGTCGGTTTTACTTTCTGTCACAAAATGCATATAATGTGTCAATTGTTCTTAATTTGACAAGACTAATGCTTACACTTTCCTGCTTACCGCTACAGGATGCTTCCTAGAAGAATGAATTGAGCTTGTCTATGTACTCCCCCGAGGTTACACAGATAGACCTCTCATATTTAATTGGTAGCTGGCACTAGCTGCCGGTTGGTTGTCATGGCACACTCCCTTGGCAACTCTTAATTACACGTGAGCTATATTTGTACTGCCTTGGTCCCGTATCTACTCTGATGGATACACGGACTGAGATGTATACTTCCACTCAATACCTATCATGTTGTTAAGAATTGCAGTTCCTTTCCTTTTTATAATTTCTACTATTAAGCATTTAAGCATGACTTTCTTTTTCTGGAGATCATTTTACAGGGTGATTTGAACATACAGTAATTATGGCCAAGCCTTCGATCAACTCTATACAAACTATGCAACAAATTTTAGTTACTTCCAGAATTCCAGATGTTGTTTTGAATTAGTAGACTTGAATCACTTGAACATGTGGAGATCTTGAGAGTATTTTTCTTTCTGAACCGGTATGGCTGATCATAATGCTTTCCTTTCTTGGCAGGACTGAAGGATTGGAGTCCTGCATTTGTTGAAGAACTCCATGAAGGTAATGTGCTTCTTATGGACCATGGCAGCATGGTTGGATGCGGTTGGGCCAGGAAAAATCTAACCTGGTCGGGCTCACCCCGCTGGTCCAAAGCCTGCCTGATCTGGGGCTGGAACACAAAAAAGCACATAGCTGCTGTACCAAGCTAGCTGATTGGCGTCAGGCAGTTGAGAATATCACCGAGCCAGGCTAGGACAGGTTGAGACTTGAGACTTCATCAGCTTAATTGTTCATGCAATGCCAGGTTTTCCTCTCATCTTACGTACAATTTAATAGGCGATCTGGAGTTTGTAATTTGTACACTGAAGCAGGTTCACTAGGCAGAAGCAGAGGATTCTGCAGGTTAGCATAAAAGGGACGTGTAACAGAGAGAGACACGACACAGGCCATGTCATAATCAGGTATAATCACTCAATTTCCTGGACATCGACCACTATTCTCAGTAGTACAGTACCATCTACGAGTTTTAGTTGATGTTTAACAAGCTAACGCTGCATTTGCTGTGATGCTGATGACTACCTAGAGTAGCTATGCACCATCAACACACAAGTTTCTGAAGCCTAGCTATTTGCAAAAATATACTCATAGAGAGGGACCTGACTTGTCCAATTGCCCAACATTGGTGTAATTTGCAGGGTAGGTCCGGCATTAAACGAAAGATTAGGGCACTGTTTATCTTTGCACTCAATGAATGAGAACAGGGCAAGAAAAAAAAGTTGGGAGCTGATTTCGTTTGCACTGAATGTGATCGGGGGACCACCTACACAGTTGCCGACAGGTAAGGAGTCTGTTTAAGCTTCCTCTCTCCGCAGCTTCTTTGTAAGAATAGTATAGTATCTGCATTCATATGGGCATACGGCAAGTACATAAGAGGACGAAGAAACTGTTTCATAAATCATTGCACCAGACACCAGTCCACTCCATTCAGAACCAAAAAATAAACTGGAACTTTCACCATTTCTCTGGTCTCGAAGTCGTTTTAAAAGGTGTGCAATCAACACGAGTTAACTTTGACCATAAAAACCAAATTTACAATAGCTTTCTTAGTATTACACATGTAATTTTGTAAAATTTCTGCTAAAGAACTAGATAGCATATTTGTATTTAAAAATATTCAAAATAACTTTCTTTTAGACAAGAAGGAGCACTTATTACTTTATTAGTAGAGAAATTTCATAATCTCAAGAGGTATCAAATTTACATTAGAAAATATGCATGGTACCTTCCGTTACTCCCTTAGAGCAATCACAATGCAGACATAAAGCTATAAAGGTGAGTCTTAAGTCTCTAAAGTGAACTTCATACATTGTGAGAGTAGTCCAATTACCATCCAACATTGCTGAAATTATGGAAAACAAAAATTAAGAATTAAGAAAGGAAGATAAGATTGTCATTTAAAGACCTCTTTGATCCAAACAGGAGTCTAACAACAAAGGATTGGATAGGGATTTTGACAACGATATTATATTCCAATATTTCAGCTCTTTGTGGTAGGTTTGGCTACTGGAGACAATCTGTAGAGATATTTTTATGAATTAACTCTTTTGGAAAAATGAATAATCAACAAATAATCTTGATGAGTTACATCATGCTTACATATATAATCACGCCTGTTAATTCCTGTTGCTATCTCTCTTATTCTTGTGCTGACGTTTGATGCCAGTGACACACGTACAACCGGTCACACATCCAAAACTACAAATAAAACAAATCTTCTAGCTTCAAGTATAGTAACAACAATAGTTTAACCTAGACATGCATCTAGCTAATTAATATAAAATTAATTATTGATGTGCACAGTATACGTATCGAATGTGACAGTGTTTTTTCTTTCATTACTTGAGCTAATTAAAACATCATTGGGACGGAGCAGCAACCATCGGAGAGGTCCATGAGGTCGGCAACCTGCTCCGCCGCCGCCTCGTCGAACAGCCACTTCTCAATCGAAGACAGCGGCGCCGCCGCCTGGTTCATCAGCTGCTGCTTGCTCTCGTCGCCGTAGCCGCCGCCATAGCCGCCGTACTCCATGAACGACGACGCCGGCTGCTGCTGATGAACGTCGAAGCAGCAGTCCAGGTCGGCGCCGGACATGCAGTCGAAGGACGACAGCAAGGGGTTGCCGACGACATCGACGGCGGGCTTGACGTCGTCGTAATAGCCGCCGTCATAGTGCTGCAGCGGCGGCGGCGGCGGCGACGGCGAGTTGGTCTTCATGAAGCCGTCGAGCAGCTTGGAGATGTTGTCCATGCTGGAGGCGTAGGAGGAGGATGGGCAGTCGGCGAAGGGGGAGCGCCTAGCAATGGCTGCCATCTGGTTGACATCGGAGTTGCTGCTCACCGTGTGGCTGCCGGCGGCGGAGGGGAAGGTGGCGTCGGCGAAGATGGGGTGGCGGTTGGAGGCTGCTGAAGTGGAGTTGGCGGCGGCGGCGAGCTTCTTCTTGAGGTGGGTGTTCCAGTAGTTCTTGATGTCGTTGTCGGTGCGCTGGGGGAGGTAGGAGGCGATGGCGGCCCAGCGGTTGCCGAGCAGCGACTGGAGGTGGACGATGATCCCCTCCTCGTGCGCCGTGAAGTTGCCGCGCTTTATCCCCGGCCGCAGGTAGTTCGTCCACCGCAGCCTGCAGCTCTTGCTGCACCTCATCAGCCCTGCATCCATCCATCCACCCACACAACTTCAGCTTCTTCTCAGTTCATTATCGATCACCATGGCTAAGCTTCATCTGCAAAGAATTGGGGAATTAGGATGTACCTGTGTTGATGGGAACCGATCTCCAGTTGCCGGGGCCGTGTTCTTGGATGTAGGAGACGAGGATGATGTCCTCCTCGGGCGTCCATGGCCCCTTCTTGATCCCCTCCTTGTCGCAGCACGGCGGCCGTCCCATGGCTACAATTCCTCACTCACTCACTAACTCCGATCCTTCCTTCCCGGATCGATCGATCGAGCTAACTACTCTTTCTGGAAGCTGCAGCTAGCTGATCGATCGATCGTCTCTCTCTGTGCTACCTGAGCTTCCGACAGTGTGCTTGAGTGTAGAGATATATATAGCTAGGAGACTTTGGACTTTGGGAGTTGAGTGACTGGGAGTGAGTGAGCTCCTTTTCACTTGCTATCTCTGATGTAAGCCACTTTCTGATCGATCGATGAGATGATTTACTTTCACTTTCTAGCAAGTCTCAGTTGATCTGGTCGATCGATCGATCTGTCTAGCTATATGTATGTAGGATGCTTTCTCTTTCTGTCAACAGCATCACATGAATCAGTGACAATGACACGGCCACACCTTAAAGCTAGCAAGAAAGACTGTTGTATCTCTGTATAGCTAGCTCCAACCTGTACGTACTACTGCTTGGTTTCACTGTGTCTAATTTAAAAGACACTGACTTTTCGCATGCAAGTCACCCATGGATATGACTCTTCAAACTTATTTTCTCAAGGCATTTCCTATACCCTAAGCAATTTATCTGTCCAAATATATATAACTCTTGGGAAACTATATATTTTCATCCCTTAAAGAAACATCCCTCATTGTTGCATGTCACTAAAATAGCTTAAAAATTGAAAAAACATTGGTATGATAGATACAAACATACAAATTAACAAATAGGTTAAAAATTGATTTTTTTGTTATTTTCATTTCTACTTACATACGTTGAATTTGAAATTTTTGCATGTTTATGAAATGACATATTTCATATTAATCTATCATGTCTATTTGTTTTTTTTAATTTTTTTTGATGACTTTTTGGGTGACATGCACAAAATGAAGAGATGAAAATCCACTTCTGTAACTCTTATGCTGCATTTGAGAAGGCTTAAGATTACAAATCAAGAAAGCTATTATAACACATGATTAATTAAATTTTAATTATTATAAATTTTAAAAAGATTTATTTGATATTTTAAAGTAACTTCTATATAGAAAGTTTTCGTATAATATACGTCGTTTAGCAGTTTCAAAAGCGTACTAATGTGTACCGAGGTAAAATCTGCATCTTCCTATATGTTGTCGAATTGATTGGACGATCATGAGGAGAAACATAAGGCTAAGGCAGGAGGCATATGCCTTGCACCAGAGTGTCGCTTCCTACGCATTGGGATTTAATCAAAGAATACGCACACCAATATATGTCAAACTTCCGTAATAAACAAATAAAATACGGAACAATAGAAAAAGAATTAGCAATTCAATTCGTATGAACTCATTCCTGCATTACAAAAAACTAACATAATTATTAGCTAGCAACTTTTAAAGTCTATTGCAAGTTACTAGTAGTTGATATTTAGAAAATCTGAATGTTGGAATTGTTAACATATAAATAGTAAATCTGAAATTTAAGATTTTTCCTCACATACAACTTGGTAAGTATGACTTTCGAATTTTAGACTTATTAATCCTAGAAATAAAAATATATTTCTGAATTATATAAAATGGAAAATTTATTTATACTGCCAATATCTATTTCAGTATATATAAAATTTCGAACCGATTCTTCTAAAGAAGGATGCACTCCCATAGTTTTTTTCCCTAAAGATGATTGATTATAAGCCGTAACGCTTATTAGCGACTTAAAAAGTAATTTATAAGTAAACTTTTTTATATATGTATTCTCAAAAAGCCAATTGAATAGATATGATAAAAAACATCAAAATCAACTTTAAAATTAAGTTTTATATTAAAATTTAAGTTTGGCTGTGAGTGATAAGCTGAAGAGAAAAATATGATTTGAACACACTTGTAGCTAGCTGAGTAAGGTTTAGAGACATATAAAATCCCAATGCAATATATAATCAGGTTAGTCCTTTTATGCGGGTTTGTTCGGAGGACATATTGACAGTTGTAACTTCTCCCAAAATCAGAAACTCACAGTATAATTCTTTTTAATCCCAAAAGCTGCTTTTCTTTTGTACTACCCCATCTTATAAAAGACCTACCTAGATAGGATGTGACGTTTTCTAGCATAATAAATATATGTTTAGACTCACTGAACTAGAAAACGTCATATCTCATTAGAGGTTGATTTTTTAGATTCTTACCCCTTGCTTATCAGAATTTAAAGTTACCTCAAATATGCCATGCCCATTATTGTACTCCATCTGTCTCGAAATACAAGGGACTTTAGATGGATGCGATATATCTTAGCATGTTTAGATTCATAATACTAAAATATTTTAAATCCATCTAAAAAATCTCTTATATTTTGGGACGGAAGGAGTATTGTGTAAAAGACTATTCCGTATATAACGTTACATATTCTGACTTATACGTACGGATCCCCTCTATTCGTGGTGTAAAATGGACCAGCGTGCTTGAGATATACTACTATATATGTATGTTCTCACACATTGTGCTTATGATGGTAGGTCCATTAGCTCTCCATCCAAACTATTTTGCCAGAATGCCCACATGCATATATAGGCACAGGGAGAGTGTGAGAACCCAGTTAATCGGCCAAGGTCAGCAAGGTCTGTGCAGCATACACTCCATGTGCAGTTTATATATAATATTGTGAATGACGAAATAAAATCCATATATATAGATGTGCATGGCCTTTTAGTGGACCAAAATAAGACAAAAAATATTCCAATTTGCATTTATTTATTATGATATACTCCCTCTGTTTCACCATGTAAGTCATTCTAGCATTTGCTATATTTATATTGATGTTAATGAATCTAGACATATATATCTAACTAGATTCATTAACATCAATATGAATATGGAAAATGTTAGAATGACTTACATTGTGAAACGGAGGAAGTATATAGTTTGGTATCAAAACATATAATGGACAGATCATGCAAGCCAGGCCCTCCTGTAGAAATTTTGCAGATATACATGATCCATCGATCTGTTCTCTCAAATCTCAATCACTATTATCTACTTATCACCATCACACTGCAGGTCACGAGGAATTATATTATTAGTGCTATATATATTTATGCACTATATCATAATAATTATGTACATCACTGCATCATACATTGTCATGCATCTTGCATCTTGTGGGCGTTTCTAGTTCCACGTTGTCTCGGCCCACTCCCATTTTAATGGAATCGACCAATCACTTCCTTTTTCTCATATTTACAATTTCCCACGTGCTTCCTAGCTAGCTGCTCAACCCTTTAGTCACCCTTTAAGCATCCTGTCTGTGTGAAGATTGATTTTCATATGTGGTGCCTTTTTGATACCCGTATTTTCACAAGTGGCTAATTTTCACTTGTAAAAGTACTCTATTTTCATTGACCTTCGGTCGATGGTGCCTAAACTGGCTACCAGTAAAAATATGTTTGGTCACCAACAATTAGCTTTTTTTACTCCATCTCAAAATATAAGGTACAATTAGGTGATGTTTGAATCCCTGTCATATCGGATGAATTTAGAGTATTAAACATAGACTACTTATAAAACTAATTACATAAATGAGAGCTAATTCGTGTGACATATTTTTTAAGCCTAATTAATCCATAATTAGCGCATGTTTACTGTAGCATCACATAGGCTAATCATGGATTAATTAGGCTTAATAGATTCATCTCGCGAATTAGCCCAGGGTTATATAATGGGTTTTATTAATAGTCTACGTTTAATATTTATAATTAGTGTCTAAACATTCGATGTGATAGGGACTAAAAAGTTTTAGTCCCATCTGTTGTCTTACTCACTACCAATGTAAAGAAAAAAAAGGATTTAATCACCTCGATACATGCATGTAATGTGACTGGAGGACTAAATGGTAGAGCTTTTTCTTTTTTTAAAAAAATATCTAAAGTTAGAGAATAAAGAGGTGCTAGTTAGTATGTGCATGTATGCACACCTTATATTATGAGACATGAAAAAAAGTATTATGCCTTATATTTATATTTTGGATAGATAGAACAGTTGTGATTTTCATCCATAGGACAAGGTACCACAGGCATGAGTTCTTTTAAAGGTATAAGTTTGAAAGTTGGGCGAGTCAAGGTTGTAACAACCATTCTGCAGAGCAATATGTTTAGAAGATGAAGAGTGATCGAACGGAGAGAAAAGGACTCACGGCTTAAATATATATATTTGCTATATAATATACATATATATGTGGTGTTATGAACTGGAGGACCACTGTTGTGGGAACAAAGTATTAAAGGGTTGAAAAGGAATTTAATATACCTATTAATCCTGTGATGAGTCGACATGACACAATTATGTCAAAATTAAATCCGTAACTTGCACGTTTCGTTTTCTATTTTTTAGTTTCAGAGGCATTTGATGAGTTAGAAACTTCACAACGTATTTTGTAAGGGTCGATTTATTTTTGAGAATCACATGCCAATATGGCAATATGTATCAGCTATATAGCAGCACGTACGTGTCTGCCATGCAATGGGTAAATTAAAGCCTCATTTGATTTGTATTTGGATTACTCATTGAATTATTGCAGCGGAGTATCATAATTTTTAAAAATAAACTTAATAAATAGTTTAAAACAAGTGATCTAAAGTCAAATAAAAAAAATATTCCTCATATATTCCTAGTCAAGGAGGTTAAATGCCTCATGGCTAGAAATAGGGAGGTGGTGGTGTCGAAAATCCATCGTGATCAGAATCGTATTAGCCATATCTTAGCTAATAGAGGGAGGTGTGAGTTTTTAACAGCCTTTTGGCCTGATGATTCTTGTAATTTCATCTCACACCTTGTCGGTGCTGACTCTATAGCTTCGTAATATATCTCCCTTTCCCCGCAAAAAAAATAAAAAGAATATTTCTTTTAAACATATTCTTTTGAAGCATAGACCAAATAATTTGTTTTAATAATCTGATATTTTTTTCTTAAAAGAACATGGTATAACAGAAAAGTATTTTTTTAATCATATCAACGCCATCTAAATAGGCAAAATTATGGGTGGAAGAGCTTTATAGAGGCCTACCTTGGTCATTGCCTTCCCTGCTCTTAAAAAATTATAGTGAAGTTCATGATGAGTCTGTTGTTACACAACATAGTATAATAGCCCTTACCCTACTTGAAATGGAACTTTTTATATTTTCTGACTGGATGGAGCTTTTTATATTGGCTCCTTCACATTCTCTTTTCAAGATCAGCCACTGAAAATTATGATATATGAAATTGTACTTTCATATACAAGCTATTAGACAGATGCCTAATACAACTGCAAATGCCATGAATTTAACTTAAAATCAAAGCACAATGCACTTTATATGAGTTACTCCCTCCGTTATATAATAATTCGCTTTGATTTTTTTCTTAAGTTGGTAGAAAAATATAACAATTATTCAACACAAAATAAACATATTATCATAATATATTTAATGTTGCATGTAATAAAGCTTTAGAGGTTGCTATTTTTTTTATAAACTTGATCAAATCTAAATAAGTTTGAGGAAAAAAGTTAAAATAATTTATAATATGAAACGAAGGAGGAGGTACATTTAGTACTGAATTATATTTTGGATAGATAGAACAGTTGTGATTTTCATCCATAGTACAAGGTACCACAGGCATGAGTTCTTTTAATGGTATACACGGCTGAATTAGTTTGAAATTCAGGTACATTTAATACTGAATTATTTTGATCGCAAAATATTTAAACAGCACTTAATTATTTAGACACTGGAATGAAGAATTGAAGACGAACTGCTAAGATCGACCGACTCTTTTTCTTTCTCTTCCTTCGCATGCAAACAGTTGGGCTACTCGGATGGGCTGATTGGACCAAACCATTTGTCCCAGAATAGAACCCTAGTGGTAATCTTTTTTTGTCCGAATTAAGGCCTAAACATAATCCAACGGTGCTAGTACCCCAGATTTGGGAGCGTTTAGGCTTAAACATAATCCAACGGCTGAGATCATCTCTCGCACAGACCGATGAATTAATTACCTTCCTCTCCTTCGTCTTCCTCCGGAAACACTCCCCTATCTCGAGCTCTTCCCATGGCGACTGACGCTTACCCAGTCCAGCTCCTCCACCGCCAAGCAACCGCCGCCACCGGCGGCGGCCAATGGCACAACCTAGGCGCCGCCTACGCCGCCGTCAGATTCCTCCGCCCGCAGGGTCGATCCCTCGTCTTGTACGCCGGCCCCGACGGCGGCGCCCAGCAGCGCATCGTGTTCGCCTACCCGATCCTCCCCGGCGACGCCTTCGAGAGGATGGACGGCGAGACGCTCTCCTGGGCGGAGCCGGAGTGCGGCGACGAGTTCGCTCTGTGCTTCCTCGACGAGGCCGCCTGCGCCGCCGTCTCCGGCGCCATCTCCCCGGTGACGGAGTCGCTGGCCGCACTGGACGGCCTCGCAGAGAGGCTCGCCGGGCTGCGCGTGGCGAGGGAGGAGGGTGGCCCCGCCGGGGTGGACATCGCCGGCCGGCTTGCTGCGATCAGCATAGGCCGACCATGAATCGACCACCGCTAACCTAGGGTTCGATGTGAATTTCCCCTAATGTCGCCGTCGTCGTCTTGATGTAGAATTTCTTTCTAGTCTGTAACCTGTAGCCCTGTACATGTCTGATGTGGATTAACAATGCTAGTTTACGCCTGCGAGATTTTCTTTCATACTTACCTTGATTCTTTTTGGGATGGGATTAACAAATTAATTAATCAATCATGGGTATGTAATCGTATACAGACCTGTAGTTATCATCAACCAGCTGAAGAACAACCATTGAAAGTAGGGAGAAATGATTAGACTAAATGCAAACAATCACAACAGGAGACTGGTTTCAATATGCAGAGATTGCAGCTCACTAATCACCGTGCATCACAGCAGTGGAACAAACAATATAGGAAAATATAATCATATTTAAGCAGCAGTTAACCCAATACCGCATTCAGATTGGATGATGCTATCCAAAATACACTCTGGAGGAAATTCTAGAGATCAATTACATCCGCAACAACTACATCAACAGCGGGAAAAAGGAATTCTCATTTAAGTGATACAGCAAAACAACTCAGGGCATTAAAAGTAAGATACATTTGCAATTCAAGGAGATAGTGCTCATTTACCAAGAGTATAAATCAGCAAACTAATGCCCATTTGTTACACTTCAAATTTTATCAGGGAAATATGAATCAGTAAAGCACTGAGAATTGTAATTTCAATAACTCATGTAAATATTCACTAGACACAACAGCTGTGCATCAAAGGATTCAACAAAAAAAACCAAGCTCTTCTTATCATCAAGAATGCACCCATATACTTCATAGCACTTCATTTCATATTCTGACATCTTGGGAACCTTACCTCACTCTCAAGGAGACAGTGAGAGGGTAAAGGAAAACTCTTCTGTCAAAAGAGTTATTCTGTTCCATTTAAGGACTAGTCTTAGAAGTCCAGTGGCATTCCGAACATGTCATTGATCTCAGCCATCACATCGCGGGTAGTAATAGTGGGCTCAAAGAGACCACTCTGGCATTCAAATTTGGAAGCATTGCTTGGTTTAACTTGGGCTGCTGGATTTTCGCCTGGTTCATCATCAGCTAATATGGAGAAACCACTGAGGGGTGCCGCTTTTCTCTCTGACAATGTTGTGGTTTTCTTGTTTTTAGGTTTCTCACCTTTGAAGTTCAGTGGTATCCCAAACATGTTATTTATATCATCCATAGCCTCCTTTAAATTGACAGTTGGTTCGACCAACCCATGGTGGCAAGCATTTTCCACTTTAGGCTCTCCAACAACAGCTGATCCAACAAATCTATGAAAGACCGTGTCTTCTCGAAGTCCAGATATTGCTGGATGTAAGTCATCACATCTTATTTTTGAATCAGTTTGTCTCGAACAGAGTGAAGTGTTATCATCAGTTAGTTGCATGGTTCCAGAATTGATCTTAACACCATTATCATTTTTCTCAAGCTGTTCATCTTCATCATCAGGCAGTATTGCAAACCCTCCCACGAATGGTTTCTGGAAGTCAAAATTGGCTTGCTGCCTTGAATCACGTGATGGCTTTGGAGGACATACAGTACTCTTATGGCTCATGGCGTTACGACCATTGCCATGTGGCTCATTTTCATCAACAAAGATTTCAAATCCACTTGCCTTCTGATTTACCTGTGTGTTCTCCTTATTAAAGTGCCTGTGCTGCACCATTTTTTGGTTGTTGCAGTAAGGATCATCTTCATCTACAAAGATCTCAAATGCGCTTGCTTGCTGACTTAACTTTGGATTATCCTGCTTCATGTTCTTGTCCTGGAGTTTGTTCTTGTCCTGGAGTTTGCTGGGTCCACTCTTGTTAGGTTCATCTTCATCGACAAATATCTCAAATGCACTTGCTTCCTGATTAAAACTTGGTTTATCACGATTTGAGCGCCTCTTGAGCTTAGTTTCTGGTTCCAATGGCTCCAAAAACATGCTACTGATAGCATCCATTGCCTCTTTAGTGTTTATAGTGGGTTCAACAAGGCCATGATGGCATGCATCTTCAGTTTCTGATTTCCCAACCAATGCAGAGCCTACAAACCTTACAACTACAGTATCATCACTATTATGACGAGACAAACTCTTTGTATCTCCTGAAGTGCCTCTATATAGTGGACGCCCTAACGGATGCGGAAAACCCAAATGAGGATTAGAACCACTTCCTGATCTTTGCACTGGATTGGACTTCGGTTCTGTACAACTTCTGCTTTGACCTGCAACATATTCCAACATCAAGAACCATTCCATGAAAAAAAGACAGTTCAAAAGTATGGATCTTGAATAATGATAGTTAAAGTGCTGCCAAGAAGGTATTTTTCTTTCATAGTCTTGATCAGTAAGCTTCGAACAGTAAGAAGCTTGATAAAGGTAACACTGGTCACATAAGAAAATATTGATTTGCATAGCCTGATACATGTCTTTTTTTCCACTTACAAGTACCTTCAACTTCGTTCTTTGATGTAGCAATGGACTGAACCTTGTTAGGCATTCGTTCCTGCTGCACTCTAGATTTCCTCCTCTTGTATAGTTTCATGCGCCGAATAAATTGTTCATGTGCTTTCTGCAGCTCCCCAACAGGCTCTGCAAGGCTATTGAATACATTGATAAATGGTAAGTGGTACCTTTAATTTGCAAGGTACTTCGTATTGATATTAATTTTATTGTGAGGTTTCACTTGCAAACTGCAATCCAAGGATTTGTTACTCCATTGGTTTGCAGTAGGCGGATCTAAGATACGTCCATTGACAATTGAATTGAGTACATGAACTTTTTTTTATGTGTCATTACATATCAGATGTTTCCTTTAGGACATATTAGATGTAGCTGTTGAACTAAATTTTAAGCAATGATAACCGCAAAAATATGGTACCAGCAACAACAATGGTGGTAAAAATCTTACTTCTGGGTTCCCAAGCGGTACATGTTCTCAGCATCCTCAAACCTCTTGTGCTTCTCATAATACAGTGCATAAGCCATATAAAATGCGGATCTCTTAAGGCCTATTCTGTTCTTTTCCATCTTCTTTAGCAATGGCTTTGCATCCTTCACATAGTCCATCTACACCATTGAAAAAAAAAATGGAAATATCACAATAGGACCTTTCAGTCCAAGAAAATATTCATATCAAAAGATCTCTGTTGTGCGTAACAAAGCCTAGATAATAAGCTAAGAAAATATTCTTATCAAAAGATTTATGTTGTGAGTAACATACAAGTTATAGTATGAGCAAGCAAACAATAGTACGAAATGAAGACATCAGATTGAAATCGCTATCGAACTATTGCAGATTCAATTAGCACAGGGCAAAGCTCGAGCCCCAAACAAATCGATTTTGGTGTGGAACTGCAACCAAATGAACCTCAGGCTATCTCAACAGATCCCCAATGAAATGAAATCCACTATATATGACAACATCAGTAAAAAGGAAAGGAAGCATATGGCGGATAGGTGGATGTAGAAGAAGGTGGCTGACCAGCTGGATCCAGACGCGGAGGTAGCGGGGATCGTCGCGGTAGCGGGCGTCGTCCTGGAACTCCTGGGCGCACTTCTGCAGGAACCTGGGCAGCTTCGCCCGCAGCGTCGCCGGCGGCAGCGCCGCCTCCATCTTCCTCATGCCCCTAGCAAACAACGAATCGATCCATCAAGCAACTTGCATCGAGAAGGGGAAGCGATCGATTGGGAGTGGTAGAGAGAGAGAGAGTACCGGAGCCATGGGCGGAGGGGGTCGGAGCCGGAGTAGGAGCGGATGTCGCCCACCACCGCCGACAGGAGGTCTTTCTCCTTGTCGCCGCCGCCGCCGCCGCAGTGCTGCTCGGTGGCCGCCGCCATGGGAGGGGTGGTGGATTGGAGCGGCGGCCCGCCGGCCGGGGTGAGCCAACACGAGACGAGAGGGGGGGTTTTTCCGGGTTTGAAATGAAAGGGTGGCTAGTTTCGAATCTCCTTCACTCGTGCGGATGACAGGTGGGCCCACTACCATCCTTGACATATGCCCCACCTGTCAGCCAGACAACTCTTGTCGCCGCATCTTTGCCAAAATCCAGTAATGATAAATTTTAAAAGGCAGTTCAAGCATGGGCATTGCAGATCACAAATTTACAATCAAGGTAAGATAAATGAGCAGCCCCATCGTTTCGCTTATGTTAATACTTATAAGTCAAAATTTAAAATTTAAAATTAATTTTAAAATTGATTTTGTGATTTTTTTATTATAGTTTATTTTATAGCATTTGCTTTTGAATCGCTAAGAATATGTGTATAAAAGTTTTACTTATAAATTAAATTTTAGTTGCTAATAAGCCATACAGATAAGCATAACCATAAGCAAAAGGATGACACTGCTCATTGGTTCCAACTTCCAAATTTGTTCAAAAACCTTCTGCGTACAGTACAAAAATGGATATGTCTGCTCAAGATTTATTTAGGTAATACTGTGACCAAAAGAACCCCACAAGTCACGACTCACAATCAACTCTGCGGTTCGACCTACAAGACATAGATTTCAAGCCGTTTTGTGGAAGAGATCCTGGAGATCAAGTATGTCAGCAAGAACTCCAGCTGCAGTGGTATCATTGCCAGCTCCAGCGCCCTGAATCACCAGAGGGGCGCTCTCGTAGCATCTGCTGTATATCTCCACCTGCCCAAGAACAAAGCAGCGTCACTTTTACGTTTCACATCACTCTCTACCAACAGTAAAAAATCACATATCAAACATTCTTTAATCCTCTCAAAACAGAAAAATGGATTTCATCAATCTACTTCTAACGTGTTAGAGGCCAATACAAACAATGTTTTTGGTAGTTTTAGTGTTCCAACTTCCAAGCTCGTGTGAACAACGCAAAGAAGAAATGGGGAATGGTGCCAATACAGACCCTGCTCACACTCGTAGGCTCTTTTGTTTTCACCTGAAAATAACCAGCCCTTGAGGCTACCAACTGCACAGTGCCGCTTGATGTTGAATAAAAGAGAAAAAGAGAGAGGAAAATAAAAAGGATTAGCATACCACATTGTCACTTCCTCTCAACCTTCCCAGTGCAGAGTTTTTCGGGAGTTCTTCAAGGCCCACTTGGCACCTACAAAATGGGGATGTTACTCTACACTACCATTGAAAGAACCTTTACAAAATGCACAGAAATGGGCCTACGTGTCTCTGACAATAGTATGCTAGTATTGAAACACTAATTAGTGATTCAGAGGGCATAGCACAATAAAAGGATACATACCCTGTGCTTTCAATCTTACAGACATAGCGAAGAACATTTCCTTTCAAAGATGCTGCCTTTACTCTTTCTTCAATGCTTTTATCAAGCTGTACTAAACCACTTTCAAGGAAGTCCTTTGTGGACATTGCATCAGGTCCTAATTCACTGGGGTATAAACTCTCAACCTGAAGATAATTGCAAAAAATTAGCACACCTGATCTTTTTTCTACGAACAGGGTGCCTGCTCAATTACAAGCGGTCTTCTAACTGGAATGTACGACATAACACATGCATAAATATAGTGTCTATGCATAATTAGAAAATTTCGGAATAAGTGATTTAGGGGTTAAAATCTTTCAAAATCAAAGTTCTGGTATCATAGAAAACAACTGAACTAGCAGCCACTCAACAAAGCTAATGGCTACATAAACTAAATAACAACTTCCAAGATTTGGAGGGTATTCATTTCATTTTCAGACTATAAGATACATAAGGTGTATAATTCATCGGAATCCCCAATAATCCTGAACACAAGTCTATGGTGATATCCAGTGACCTATATTGTAGAAGAGTGTCGGTCCTTATCCATAGAATCCATGTAGCCAAAATATTATAGAAGTAGAACTAAAGAGAAAAAGATGGTTCCAAGTAATGCTTCGGGCAAACTATCACCAAGAATGGTATCAACAAGAAATGCATCATTTTAAACCAACTAGGTTTTTTTGAACAGCCAGAATAACAGGAAAACACTTGCTACAAGTCTCAGACCCTCAGTTATATTAGCGAAAACATCAGCCCATGCACACCAACCTATGTTTACACAAAACATTAGAGTGCAAATACCATCAAGATTAATTATATGCATACATTAATATTCTCCATGCTAATCTGTTGCCCCAGAAGCCTAGCTAAGATCAATGCCTGCATTCCAAGATGAACTTGTTAGACCTCATCATCTAATTGACAAAGAATGAAATAATCAAATAAAACATCTGAACCTGAACATAAACCTCCCTTATGTCAATGTCTATGCAAGGTTATTATTGAAATTCCAAATAGGATAAGTGCATGATATAGGCCTTCCTGAACTTTAGTATTTATGATATTGATGTGCTAGTGAATATATTTTGGATCAAATCATGGTATGACACAATTAAACAAAAAACAGATACACAGCAGCAGCTCATGATATATTAGTTCATGGACTTAGGAGTAGAAAAAAATTGTGGCAATGGTTAACAAAGGCACATATAAAGTGAATTATGTAGCGTAGCATGTAATTCATCAGATGAAAAATTAACCTTTCTAGCTACGTCCATCCCACTGAGATCATCACGTGGATCTACCAAAATTGAACAACTGAGTAAGTGCACTTATCACAAGCATCAGTAGACTTTCGGTAAATATGAAATCTGTAATTACAGATAAGGAATTGAATACTGAGTACACATTGATGTTATAATGTCCAATGAATGAATAAATTTTTAGACCTGGTTCTGTATAGCCAAGAGACTTGGCAGTTTTCACAACTTCACTAAATTTCTTTCCATCCTCCAGCTCACTCATCACATAACCAAGTGTACCTGCAGAATCATAGGAATGGAAGTGTACATTGCTCTGCTATTTGGAAAACAGACACCTTTTACAAACAAATAAAATAATAACTGTGTACCACTCAGACTGCCAACAATACGAGAAACTGGATCTCCAGAGGCAATAATACGAGTCACAGAAGCTATTACAGGCAGACTGGCTCCAACCTAAGAGTAGGAATAGTAAATATCAGCAGAGACCCTCAACTCATTTGTAATAATAAAAGAAATTGCCAAAAAAAAAGGCTGTGCTTAATCATATGGCCACAGTCATATCATACAACCCCAGATCAAATAAATGAATGGATTTCCATGAAAAATAAATATAATAACATTTTTTGCTGGGTCGGCGAAAGAAACGCCGACCAAATTTCATTAAGATTGGGGGAAAAGTATAATAACATTTAATAGTGAAATGAAGGAATTACTAGTGGCGTATGCATACAGTAGATTCAAATCTTATGCGACGGAAGTTGGAGACCAACTTTTCGAAATCCTCCTGCATGAAAAAGGAACACATTTGGTAAGCATGAACTTATGTGTCAAAATGACAAAAAATACTGGATGGAAGACTTAAGGAGGACATTACATAAGCACAAGTAAGCGGTTTCTTGTTTGCCAATACAACACAACATCCACAATCCACGGCATCCTTTAGCATGCCAACAGTATCATAAGTTGCAGAACAATCAACTAGTACAAGACCTGCAAAAAGGATCATAAGATAAGAACCAAAGAAGATATTACACTCCTTTTTTTTAAAAAAAGGAACTAATCAACAATCATACAGCATATCAAAGATTCCTTTTTTTTCCCCACTGGTTTCTATTCCAGAGAATTCAAAAACTTAGCGCGCAATGTATTCTGCATAGGGAGAAGGATCACAGACCAGTTGTTTTCCCTAGAACGCTGGCAGTGTCAATGACTTTCCTCCTAGCCTCAGTGTTGTTGAATAGCTGACATTGCCCTGAAAATTGCACAATCCAACCATCCATTACTTTAAATATCACGTGTACAAATGCAAATTCATGACAAAGTATTCATTACCCAAGGAAGCTATGGAATATTCTAAAAAAAGAAAAAAGGAATAACGAAATAGAATGGGGATACCTCGAGCGAGCAGGGAAGATAGGGGCGAGCCGGCGGACTTGGCGGCGCAGAGATCAGCGAGGAGCGCGTCGTCGAAGCCGTTGGAGTGGAGGTCGTCGGCGACGAGCAGAGAGGAGCTGTCGGCGACGCCGAGCACCCGGATGGCGACGCCCTATACAAGTATGGGCGATGAGAGCACCGAATCGGAGAGGAAGGGGACGGGTCAGACGAGACGAGGTACCTGGTTGGCGTGGAGCGGGCGGCAGGAGACGATGTGGCGGAGAAGGTGGCGGCCGACGCCGCCGCAGCCGAGGAGGACGACGGGGAGGACCGACCTCACCGGCGCCGCCATTTGGGTGCTTGACAGCTTCACCTTCAGGCTACACCATTTTTGGTTTCTTCGGCCTGTTGTTCAATCGTCTATTCGGCCCAGCCCACGCAGCATTTTTTTTCTTCATTTTTTTTAAGATGATGTCAGAGTAGGCCAATGTCCCTATGCTTAGATTTGATTTAGAGAATATCTCCATATTTAACATTGTAATAAAGAGGCAAATTGTGTAGCACATAAATTATCTAGATCATGCTTTCATTTTGAAGAATTCTTGTAATTGGGTTGAACCCATTAGCTTCTTGCTAAACGTTGTAGTGAACGTTATAACTGTGTTTTGATATCGATAAAGCGCGTCAAATGGCTAAAAAAAATCTTGGTTGCAGGAGAGGAGAATAATTGTGGAATATAGTTCAAATGCATCAAATCATATTTTCTGCTATTTAAAACTGGAATCATTTTACAAAGCAATTTATTCCAGAAAGGGACAAACGACCCACAACTTTTAGTGTGGATATTTTCTCTCATTTGATAGTGAATCCATAAATTTACTCAAAGGTAGAAAACAAAATCCAATGGGTACAATCAATTCACATGCAAGCACATAGCCATACATGCTCTTGTCAACAAATACAAAAAAATATGTAAAACACATAAAGGTCAAGCATATGCTGCGTCGTGCTAAAAATAAAAGGATAAGGGGCTTATATTCAAGGTTACTACACTAACATCGTGGTTCTTCCTTGATCTGACACTTCAGGAAAAAAAAAACATCATCCATGCCTTGTGATTAACGTTTGGTTCATGGATGATGGATGATGTGACCTCGAAGGATCTCGAACTCTTTCAATTCCATTATGAATGTGCGAAAGTTTCAGATCATGGATTTCCTCTCGAATTTTGTGATCTTCCATTATCATCCGTGTACCATCTATTTAGTCTCTCGAGAGCAATCTCTACCTAAAAAACAATGGAGCATACCATTCAAATATAAAAAAAATGTGCTCTTTCAATGTCCCACATGTTTTTCTAGATAGACCCTTATATTATGTGAAAAAGATATAATTAAATACAAGATAACAAAAAATATGAGCAAAAAAGATAACAAAGCCAACCTGTTTTTCCCAATTAGTCCTAAGTGTGATGAATAAAAGCACAAGAGTCTGCACTAGTGTTCCAACAAGCATTCCAATCCAAATGCCCTATAGAACCAATTAATAAAAGTGAGAAACGCAACTTAGACCCAAGATTTCCTAATGAAATTTACAATAGCAACCAGGACCTTACCTTTACTTCAAATCCTAGAGCATAGCCTAGTATTGCCCCAATAGGGATACCGATCAAGTAGTACGATGCAACATTAACATAGGCAACTACACTTTGCCAACCAGAGCCAATAGCGACACCTATAGATAGTTAGAAAACGTTGTAATTTCAAAGTGAAAGTTTAAATTATTTTGATATAATCGTCCGTCAAATAAAATAATCATACCTGAGAGCACCGGTTGAACACTATTCAATAAAATGGAGAAAGCTAGAAGGGGAGCAAGATCAGCGACTGCATCTACTACCTCCTGACTTTCAGTAAATATGTATGCAAGGCTTCCACGAAAGAAAAGGAAGAGCACAAAAAACACAAATCCTATCAAGAAAGAAGTGGTGACCACATTGAAAATGGCAAACTTAGCCCTTCTTGCACTCCTAGCTCCAAGTTCATTTGCCACCCGCACTCTAAAAATGTATATGTATTAAGTATAAGTCAAATTTATAGGACATAATGGAATAGTCAGATGAACCACTTAATGAGTAACAAGTAAGATCATGAAGTTACCCAGTTGCAGCCAAAAATCCAATAGCAATCATCATCTCCCAACCATTGATATTAAGGCTACAAATTTTGTAAGTGAAAACAACAGTGCTCAACAAGCAATTTCTCCAAGTACTAAAGGATCAACACAAAACAATAAATTTATGTACATGATACAACATGATTTGGCTATTATTTTCTAAACTAGTATGCAACAATAGTATATATATATATTAACATATTACCATATAGAAAGAGCATCAAGAGCAACCTCTGCATTCTTCATATAACCAGTGAGGAGCACCAATATGGTGTTGTACCATAATTCTACACTGAAAGGCAAAGGAACAACAAGAATGAATCAATGAGCTACCAAATTAGCTGTAGGAAAGAACTTGGTTAACACTAGGTTAGATATAACATATTGCCTTTTGTTTGGTATCATCAAAATTATACAAAATTTCATATGTGTACATAAACAGAACTGTTACTTACCAAAGCATCACTCCGGATGATATCGAAAGCTTGATAATAGCACCAAGATCAGTAAAGGCAGAGGACGAGAACCCTGTCCATGTTTGAGGACAACCGCCAAAGAAGACATATGCGAGCTGACCAAATATAGGGATCCAACAGGCAATGACCATGGAGCCCATCACCCCAGCAAGGCCAAGGTGAAACTTGACCACCATGAGCCATGATAGGAAGAGATTGAGTCCAAAGTTGAGCAAGGAGAGGTAGGTAACGATCATGTTCTTGCTCTGTGATTGTAGATACATTTGGATTGTTAATCCCCAGACATAGGAGAACATGATGGGAATGTACCATAGTGAGATGGTGCCAGCCACAACAGAGATATCGGGATCCTGACCAAGGGCAATTAGGAGCGGAGTGGTGAAGAGGTAGATTGGGAGAAGGATTACTGCACAACAGAAGAGAACTATCCATGAGCGTTGTAGATAGATGCCTAACATGTGGTATTGCTTGGCACCATATGATTGCCCACACAATGTTTCCAATGCGCTTGCCATGCCTATCTGCAGTTACAACAATGTATATGTATGGTTAACTATCAATTAATTGTAAATAGTTAATTGTTTATGTATGCATTTTGTACAAGATGATTTGTAATATAACTTAAAGTAAGGTATGTTTACATTTTATTTGTATATTTTGTACCATTAAGAGTTTGTTATTGTTGCAGTGCTAGCTAACAGAGGTAGCACGAAGAAGATAGCATACGGAAGATCCAAGAAGAATAAAGAAAGAGCACACTATATAATTATTGCATGAAGAAAATGCCATGATTAAGGGGTGGATGATTAGATGAAGAGCCTGCTTCAAATATTAATTAGTGTATTGAAAGTTGAATAATTTGATGATCCCCTTCTCAAGAAGGAAAAAATGTGAGGAGGCAAAGATCTCGTATAATTTTCTTCCTTCGATACGTTTTATTCGATACGTTTTATGTCTTTTTTATATCGAGCCTAACTCTTATAAAGGCAAATCAAACATACATGATTTGTACGAATTAATCGATGTGCAAATTAAATTAAAGAAAAAAAAGTTAGTGACGCTATTAGTCTCGATGGATAGAATTAAGTCATGACTCCAACATTATTAAAGTTAGTTTTTAAAATTGGCAAAATTTACTATAAGAGTGATTTTGTTAGGGATACTCCTAAAACGTGGCTTGACCTAAGGACACCTAAAAGAACGTGTTAATTTGCTAGAAAATATCATATTATTATTTTATCATTTTTAGCATATTTGAAAAAGACCAAAATTAATCATCCATCGATGATGCTCAGGTCTCCCCATCTACCGTTTAATGGCTGGGCCAGAGACGATCGAGCGAGGAAGTACATGATTGGCCCTGTGGTTGCTGCAGATGGTGGGTAGGTAGGGAGGGCAGTGTGGGAAGAAATTAATAAACAATTACACAAGCCCTGTTCTTTTCTTTAAAAAAAATTGGATAAAATTTTGGATACTAGTGACACGCTTTTCGTACGAAAACTTTCTATACAAAAGTTACTCTAAAATATCAAATTAATTATTTTTTTTAATAATTAAAACTTAATTAATCATACATTAATACCATCTTATTTACCTAAAATACTTAATTATCTTCTTTATCCTTATCTTGTGTGTGGGAATACTATCATCGATTCAGGCAGGGGTTGTGTGTAAACATAATGCATGTCAGCATGTGGCGAGGAGGGCAATCACGTGTACTTTCTCTTTTAAAAGTCATACGTATTCTGTTTCCGACGGATACTGTAGGTAATCTCCACCACGTACCTCCACCACCATCATGAAGCACGGCCGGGCGTACGGCAGAGGAGCGATCACGTCGCTGGCCACTCTACTCGCGCTCATGGGACCAGTTTATACTAGACGCTTCCGCGACAAAAAATTTCATACATAAGTTACTTTAAAATATTAATATATTTATTTTGTTAAGTCTATAATAATTAAAATTAAAACTTAATTAGCTATATACTAATAACTTTCTCGTTTTATATACATCAACGTAACTTTTATCTTCATCAGTTTTAAGTACAATTAGAATTTAACTTTTTTTTCTTGGATGAATGGAGTAATATAAGTAGTAGCAGCGATGTGGCCTACCGGTATCAACGTCATCGATAAATGGTATGTTTGTCCGGCCTCGCTGCTGTGCTGCATCAGTGCATCCTCATGTATCTGCGTCACGGTCACTGGCTCACTGCCAAATTAATTAAAGTGGTTGCTACAAAAAATGATTCCTCATCCAACGATGCCAACCAATGCGTCCCGGAAAAAGGAGATCACGGGAAGGAAAACGTTACATCATTGCATGGGAGACACCATCGACATCGAGTCGCCGTCTCGTGTCGGCCATCGATGAACTTTTTTTTCGAACCTTTTTATTTTTTAAAATTTAAAAATGAACTCTTACAAAATTTAATTTTAAAACTAGACCTTTTAATGGTACTGGCTGGTCTGATGTGGCGAAATAATATTGTCAAGTCAAATGAGGATGAACATGATAGTTTATGATAGTTTAGTTTCGTTATGCCAGCCGGGGTGGCGTGGTTAAAAGTTTTAAATTTTAAAAATAAGTTTTGGGATGTTTATTTAAAATTTAAACACAAAAAAGGTTAATAATAAAAAAAATGGCCATCCTATTCATCAATTCATGCCCTGTGACCTTGTTCTCGTCAACCCATCGGCAGCACACCACCACCAGCTAACTCACGATTTAATTCAACATCGTGGAATATAGTTCAATTGCATCAAATCATATCTTCTGCTATCTAGTAGCTGTGTGAATTGAAGAAGGGAAGGCTGCAAGGAAAGGAAAGCATGATGCTCGCGTTTTATATCCGCACGTTTTCTAAACTGCTAGTATGTATTCTTAAAAAAAAGTTATTTTAAAAATTATATTAATTTATTTTTTAAATTTAAAATAATTAATAATTAATTAATTATGTGTTTGTGACTTGTTTTGTTTTGCGCATATTTTCAGTCCTCTCTAATACTCTTCTCTCTAACACAACCTGCTGTGAGATTGCCCCTAAATTATATATGGTTCTGCAGATGGCGGGTAGGTAGGGATGACAGAGGGGGAAATTAGTTGTACTACCTTGTAAGTAACAGTGACCCCTGATTAGGATTCTCGGACAACGAGTGATCAAATTAACAGGAATTAACAGTTGGATCGTGTGGCAAGGAGGGCAAGCACGTGTTCTTTGCTCCAACAAAAGTTAGATAAAGATTAAGATTTTTATGGCACGCTTTTCAAACTGCTAAACGGTGCGTTTCGTATGAAAACTTTCTATATGAAAGTTGCTCTAAAATATCATATTAATCTATTTTTCAAGTTTTTAATAATTAAAACTCAATCAATTATGCGTTAATATCACCTCATTTTATGTAAAAAAACATAACCTTTATCTTCATCTTCACAAGAAAAGAACACCACCTAATGTGCTGCCAATGTTTTCTTATCCTACTAAAGCTTTCTATACGTAGTCCATTAATGGGATGTTTGCCCGGCCTTGCTGCATGCTGTGCTGCATCCCCTCCCCCACCCCCACCCCGGCCACCCGACTCCGGAGCAGTTTTGGTCCAACGTGGCACACACGTGGTAATCTAGTCAGCATAAAAAAATAAAAAATGGTAGGGCACTTGTCAGTTCTGCATCTTTTCTAGGTCGCCACATGTGGGCCCTACCTTATATATATATATATATATATATATATATATATATATATATATATATATATATTAATGCTGACTAGACTGCTACATGTATACCACGTAGGACCAAAACTGCTAGCATTCTGGAGTCTGTCAGGGGATAATTCGTCCGTATAAAAAGTTGAGGATGAAGAATATCTAGTTTTTAAATAGAGGTGGATAATTCGTACTACCACGATAGTTCAAGCGTAATTCGAACTTTTTCTTAAAAAATAGGCCCGAAATCATGCATCTCTAGCAATAGCAGTGCCCTTTGCAAAATGTTAGAAATTTGTCATGTCATCTTAGGTGGGCTCTCCTTCAATTATTGTTTCTAGCGATCTGTTTCGTTTTTGTCACGTTGCAAACGACCTGCGAGTGCTAGGGCTTGGGCGATCGCGCATCACTGGGCCGTCAGCAAGGTGGACGCGAGTGCACGCCAGCCGTCGGGGCAAGAAAGGGCATTGTGAGGGTTCCATTAGCTGTTGTCACGTTGCAAACGACCTGCAAGCACTAGGGCTTGGGCGATCGCGCATCACTGGGCCAGCGCGTCAGCAAGGTGGACACGAGTGCACGCCAGCCGTCGGGACGAGAAAGGGCATCGTGAGGTTCCATTAGCTGCCAGGTCAATCAGCCACGCCAGGGCAATGATAGGATTGGGCATGTCGGAATATTGGGGCCATGATTGGATATATATTGGAGGCTGTGTTTTAGACATAATTCCCAAAGTAGTATAGCTTTAGGTAACATGATCGGTTATCTCTTGGAGATGCTCTAAAATTGAAACATTATCACAAAACACTATGCCAGAATGGTCCGTTTGATATAGCTTTTTGCTGGATTAACCGATTTGCTTATAGGAGCAGATACTCAATTAGCGCATGGTCTTTTTTGATATTGAAAATGATCATTTTTTTAGTTTTCTATAAAACTTTTATATAATATTTTGTTTTTAGTGTTTAATGGTTTGAAAAGTGTGATCGCTATGGTCTAGTAGCTAGAATTTGAAAGAACAGGAATGGCCAGTTTCTCTCTGTTTTTTTTTTGTGAAATTTGACTGTTTCTCATATTTGATAGTTCAATCAATAAATTTAGTCACGATAGATAATAAAGCTTAGTGAATACAATCGACTTACATGGAAGCGCTTTCTAATTAATACAAAAAATCATGTAAAACTCACATTGTGCAAGGGCTTGGTGAAATAATAGGATAAGGGGTATATATACAATAGAGTAAAGTCCATCACCGGTCCCTAAACTTGTACTGCTGTGTCATCCTGGTCCCTAAACTCGTAAATCGACCGTTCAGGTTCTCAAACTTGTTCGACTGTGTCATCCCGGTTCCTAAACTTGCAGATCACTCGTTTAGGTCCTCCAACTTGTTCAGTTGTGTCACCCCGGTCCCTAAACTTGGATTTGAATATCATCTGGGTCAAATAGGACAGTCTAAAGACTTTATATTTAAAAATAATTCATAACTTGTTCATATGAACTCTAATGAAGACAAACTTTATATCAAACTTGTAGCCCTCGACGCGATCTACAACTTTGTAGTTGAATTTTTTTTATTTTAAGTCATTTTTTTGTCCCAAAATATAATTTTAAAATTAAAATTTAAAAATCTATAAACATGCAACAATATTTTGGGACCCTAAACAGTTTTAATTCAAAAACTTTTCAACTACAAAGTTGTAGGTCACATCGAGGGCTACAATTTTGATATAAAGTTTGTCTTCATTAGAGTTCACATGAAAAAGTTATGAATTATTTTTTATATAAAGTTTTTAGACCGTCATGTTTAGGGACCGGGGTGACATAATTGAATAAGTTGGAGGATCTAAACGAGTGATCTGCAAGTTTAGAGACCGGGATGACACAATCGAATAAGTTTGAGGACCTGAACGGTCGATTTGCGAGTTTAGGGACCGGGATGACACAACGGTACAAGTTTAGAGACCGGTGATGGACTTTACTCTATACAATAACTTTTCCTGGCGGAAAAGCCATCACCCCAAGCCATATGATTAAAATTGTTCTTTGGTGGATACGTGACCTTGATGATTTTTTTTTGAAAGTTCAAACCTTGAAAATCTTAAATCCGAGCACAATCCCATTTTGACAGGTTGATTCATAAATCATCAAAATTCTTTACAAGTGTGCAGAAGTTTTATATCATGCATTTCCTATTGAATTCTGTGATCGTCCGTTCTCATCCATATACCATCTGTTTAATCTCTCTCGAGTAATCTCTACCTGAAAAAATTAAACATGAAGCACATCATTAAATGAGAAAAATATGCTCTTCTAATGACCCATGAATTTTCTAGAGAGACCCTTAAATTATTTGAAAAAAGATATTTAATCAGAAAAAAAGGATAAGAAAAAAATATGAGCAGAGGTAAAAAAAGGCAACCTGTTTTTTCCAATCGGTCCTAAGTGTGATGAATAGAAGCACAAGAGTCTGGACTAGTGTTCCAAGAAGCATGCCGATCCAAATACCCTGCAAAAAGAATGAACATAAGTGAGGGACACAACTTAAATCCAGATTAACTAGTGAAATTCTATCATACAAAAATTCCTTACCTTTGCTTGAAATCCTAGCACATAGCCTAGTATTGCACCAAGAGGGATACCAATAAAGTAGTACGATGTAACATTAACATAGGCAACTACACTTTGCCAACCCGATCCGATAGCGACACCTATAGATAAATTAGAAAATTAGTAATTTCATTGTTAAATTTTGAATTACTTTGATATACTTGTCCTTCAAATGGAATAACATACCTGAGAGCACTGGTTGAACACTATTCAACAAAATAGAGAAAGCTAGAAGGGGAGCAAGATCAGCGACTTCATCTGCTACTGCCTTACTTTCAGTAAATATGTATGCAAGGCTTCCACGGAAGAAAAGGAAGAGCACAAACAACACAAATCCTATCAAGAAAGAAGTGGTGACCACATTGAAAATGGCAAACTTAGCTCTTCTTGCACTCCCGGCTCCAAGTTCATTTGCCACCCGCACTCTAAAAATATACATGCATTAAGTATATGTCAAATTTATGGTTCATGTTGCATCAGTTAGATGAACCACATAGTGAGTGACAGCTGAGATCGTGAAGTTACCCTATTGCAGACAAAAATCCGATAGAAAT